GGGGGACTTAGAGCATGGTTATTCACAGCAGTAGAGTCATTAATAGCAGCAACACACAACGGGATGATCTGTACTTCTGCGCAGACCTGTGCTTAAAACTGGCTTCAGAATTTGTGTGCTCGGTGCGAAGTTACGTCAAGAGATAGAGCCAGAGGTATTGTATCAGAATTGCTTGGAGCACCTCATACTGGTGCATGTAAAAGAGTATGAAAGAGCAGGGGCCGCAGAAATTCTTACGGAGACTTAAGGGTCTACAGTTCGTCCGAGGATCGATTTCATTGCAGAATGAGAGACAATTAAAGATCATAGTTCCATTAAACCAAGTTATATAACACTAAGCTATATAACTATAAAAATTATAGTTCCGCATAGTCCTGAATTCAGAACTACGGCTACCAATCTTGGGAAAGCATTTGCACATGTATATGAGTACGGTTTTGTGTCTCTGTGTGCATGTCGAAAGGCAGCATGAATCACGGCGTATCGGTAGCGGTCAAACATCCGAGTCACCATATTATTTTTTGCGCTGTATATTAATACACCCTGATTTTCGCTGTTTCTCAGTATAAAAGCGAAGGCACAAACGAAATATTTTCTTTGCGCGTGCATATAAGAGTTCGTCATTTCAGCTCTGCACCAAAGACCGTAAGGCATGAACTTGTTTTGTGTACAGAACAGTTATCGGAGTCGTATGCTTTTAGATACTTTTTACTGACCGCGTAAAGAAAATGATTCTATGCAAATGAAGACCCGCCTAAAGAATGTTTCTTCACCGTCCATTTTGGCTTCCGAGCTGGGGAGTTCCATGACTAGCCTCTCACGTCAGAATCTGATGGTCGGCGATATTTTACTCCTGTTTCATCGGCTTCTATTTCGGAAGATATCTGTAATAATTTTGTTGAAATTAGTTTCTCTCGACGGTTTTCTTACAAGGCGACTCAAACAAAATATCTGATGGTGCTTTTGGGTTTTCAACTTGACTTTTGTCTCATTTTAAGCAAAACCAGTGCGGCAGAGTCTGAATAAAGCTGACGACAGACAGACGGATCTGACCTGTTGTTTAAATGCTACTGCATAATATCATATATTTCAAATGCTGTTTAATGCCCGCCTACCGATCCAGGTATTGTTCCCCAAAATCCGTTTAGTGTATCAAAAGGGTTGTAGTTATTTCTTCTTCAGCTCTTCTGTTTTATTCCCTTTTTCTTTACTACCCGCAGTGCACTCCATAATTTTTTCAATCTTCATTGCTGATTGCTTTCTGACCGTTTTCGAAACGTTAAACGGTTCCAACTGATGTTTGGCGTTCAAATGAGTGGTGAAAGTAAAATGGCACCAATACAGGCATAGGAAATCGATTCTACCACTCAGAGTTCAATCGAATTTCGAAGTCAAATCCATGAAATGAATTGCTTTTTATGTTAAATGGATTAATTAATCTCTGACGTATTCGATTTGAAAATGCGAGTCGTGTGACTATGCTTCTATTTTAATGA